ATCTCTTTGGGTTCCTCTTTGTGAACTTTGTTGATCTGACTTCAAGGAGTTTCCTCTTCCTTGATCTGTTAATCCAATATTGGACTGTCTTTGACTAATCGGGTTGAGATATTGGTCCTTTGTACGTAGTGGTGCACACACTGAATCTAGTTCATCAAACATATCTCATTCGCAAAATTTTAGTTTTCGCCTGAGTCCACTCTACTTATGACCGGCCTTTGTGTGAGTTCATCTTCTCTGACGTCTGGCAGAGCGGATGACTTCACCATACCTACCCTGTTGATTGATGGTTTTGCTCACACGACGCACGTCTGTCCTGTTTGATCGTGTTTGTTTTTGTGTAGTTAGAAAGTTGGGCGTTAAACAGCACAGCACCTCCAATACTAGAGACTGAGTAAGTCTGAGTTAGCGATTTCGTAATCGTTGCAAAGCCTGTGTGGATCTTTCAAAATCTTGTTACAAACATGTTCATTCATCTCGCATTATTTCCAAGCCCAGCAACGCTGAAAAACCAAGGTTTCACCTGAGATTCAGTTGAGTCCCGCATTAACACCACACAAATGCTAATCTGCACACAAGCAAACGCAATGGGCAACTGACGAATCACTCTTCTTGGTGGAACTGTAATAACTACAGTGTGAATCAGAATTCAAAAGTGTGCAACATGTAATCGATAGAACCTGTCGGTAGCCTCTTCCGTATTTCTATCTTCCTCTTCTCGAATCTTTATTCCACAGCCACTCACAAGTCCTTTCAACCAGTTCATTCTTTCTAGCGTGGCCAGCTATTTATTGCAGTCCGATTTGCTTAATCCTTGGTAACAACCCAGCTTTACGTGTACCTGACTGATGGTCGTTGGCTTGTTCGCTGAGCTGGGCAATTTGATTGCAAACGTTTCATCACTAATCGAGGTGACATCACCAGTGCGTTATTGTAATGTCACCTCGACTGGTGATGAAACGTTTGCAATCAAATAGCCCAGCTCAGTGAACAAGCCAACGACCACCATCTACGCTACCTGAGCTACCGACATTTTCCTCTACGTACCTGAATTATCGAGCAGCAGCTGGTACTAAGCAAAGGCATACTTTATGTGATTCGTTCCCGGTCATGAGATGACTGTATCTCAGAGTGCCTGTCTTTTGATTTCAGATGCTGTTTTCATGAACATCCAAAGTGTATATCCACTCCACTTGAGAGAAAAGATGCTGATGAGCAACTAGCTCCGGTGGGAATTCATCAGGTTCTCTGTAGGACAGTGCATGTGTGGTACCACACTTAACTCATACAGGCTGTCCATCCATCGTCTGTATTGCTTTGCTCTGTCACTACCGAATTCTTCAAGAATGACATCGAAGAGTTTGCGCAGTACGTAAACTGGCAAACAAACAGGAGAAATGATATATTATTAGCGATTTTTCTTCTAGCATTGTGATCCCGACTGATGATCTTATCCAGGAGTAGCCAAGGTCGAGGATACAAACGAACTTTACATCCAGTCGGGGCTGAAATATTCAAATGATTACGCTTACAGCTCTACACAGCCCTCTCTGTGCGTTGCACACATGCACAGCTGAGACAAGCTGTTCCCCGGCATCAAAGATATCATGACAACGGCAAAGTTGTTTGGAGCAGCTCTAAGAAAATAAACTCAGAAGATGCACTCAATATGCTCACCAATCTTGACGGAGTAAAGTAATGCACCAAAAAATGCTGTGCAGAATCATCAAGGCCACATATTTTGGGAGGCCTTGTACAAGGTTAGAAATATCGTGTGGACTGTTCTCAGCTTAACCGTCGATTTTACCAAACGACACTGTAATTACTAACTGAATAGCTGATCAATAACACACAGCAAAGCATTTCGGCAGATCCCAGCTGTGAGACAGTTCTTTTGTAATGAGGCTGTTAAGTCGGACAGTATGGTGGTGATAAGCTTAGGGTGCGACCATGCCCATCACACCTCATCACCACGGCAACGTAAGGTTCCTTCATCCAGACCACCAATTGAAAAGGCCATTAGGATTGTGAAGTTTCAACATAGCGGAAAGCGGACGGATGGTGCATCTATTCTTTGTCACTCTTAAAATGAGTTGGGTTTTAATTACATACCTTGTCTTCACTGGCAGACTAAATAGGTTCTAGGTCTAAGAACAAGCTTGTGAAGACATCATTCTCAAAGCAGCACATCAATCTCCCTACGGTTTCCGCATGCATCATTGAGTGCTGCTTAGCCCGGCATCTTTGGCTTCTGTGGGCTTGGAGCTTCAGTGCCAGGTTATCGAATACAAGGCATCAAGTACCGAAAACACATCTGCTTAGACAGTCCAGCTTCACCTCTCACAGTTACCTGATAGGTAGGGTCATTACAACTTTCCTGAGCCATGGATGCCCCATTTCTGGACCGTCCGAGAAGACTAAATTCCAAGACAGCTATCTTCTGAGACAGTCGGTTGGCTGGCATCCCAAACGCATCCGCTGGTCGGCCGTTACAACCCCCTCTGTATGCTTGCATTCAGCGGATAGACCACGACCGTTTAGTGTGGAACCCAATGTGATGCTACGTATAAGTCGCCGGGATAAATATAAACTAGACAGAATAAGATCTACCAACAAACGCGAGGATTCCTGTTGAGAAAAACCAGTCAGCCCAAACATGATAGCATAGCAATCAGCACCACCAAGACTGTGGTTTTATTCTGTTCACCAAAGCTTCTACCGGATACAGCACTTCTACCAGACAAATAGCTTAACCATGTTTTCTGTAGAATACACACTGTAGGTGCATTTCAATGAAAACAGATAGCCAGGTGGTGAGTCAGTAGCCAGATGATCACCGGTACTGTTTTCTCGTAGTGTAATTAGTGCTGATTAGAAATCGAGCAGATTCACTGTTGCTTCCGTAGTGGTTCAGAGCGAGTACACTAGTAACTGGCGAGTTTTATTCAACTCAGGCATGGTAGCCACCTAGGTTTGTGGCTGTGGTTGCACTTGACATTGGATGATCGTTTCAAGTACTTTGTGCCTCAGGTTTTATCAAGTCTGTATAGACGACAGGCCACTCTCAAATGTCACATTTTTCCCCGGGGATCAGGACTGCAGTTTTGTAAACGCACATAATAGTAGAGTTTCGGTCGTCATCGATTTCAAGTTCTATTCTTCAATCGACAGCTAAACCGTTACTTCAAGATGCTGTCATGGGCTCTTTGTTTTAGGTGCTCACCTAGCTGGCTGTACATCAAGGTGCCTTCCTTGTAAGACAACTGGGCGTGTTACGGCCTTGGCGTCCACACGCAGGTTGTGGTTATGCGAAATGCGCGGTCCAGAATCAGCTCGCCTGTCTCCATCCTGTAGACAGGATGCTGTTGAGATAGAATACATTCCCGTAAGATGCCTTGCTGTCTGTTTTATGAAGCCCTCTATGGGTTGATAAAAGATAGATGTTTTGGGAGTATTTTACGTTGATCGAAACGAGGTGCTGCTGAGGTGAATGATACGGTTATTATCTGAGACTCAACTTTCGAGTAGACCGATGAAGCCCAGTCGTAGACATCATGCGGATCTTTGACTCTGACTTTTGGATCGTGAAGCCTATCCAGTGTGAATAGAGGCTAGATCGGAATCACGAAAGGCTTCTTCACGAATTGTGTTCAGATACAGATAGAACAAAGCGGAAGGTACATCACAACCTCCTTCCACCTCAGCATCAAGTTCGGACTCGGCAGAGGTAGTTTCACATACGTACTCACTTTCCATGCAGGAGTAAACGAATTTGGTATATGTACGAATGTGTTTATGAATATCCGTGATTTTAGACAACGATTCGCAGCGCGTCCCTGCTTACTAAGTAAAAGGCATTTATGAAGTTCGGGAAAATGGACCGTTGTCCGGCACTTTCATTTTACTGCAACGTTAAGACCAGTCGTACTGACGAAATTCATATTTTTCTTTGGCGTGATGATAACCTTGAGAAACTAGCCAATATATCTTTAAACTCACAAGCCTTCAACCACTTTGGGCGTCCTGAATATGATGGAAATACTGCGGCTCCTATTCATGAATTTCTTTCGTTTTTAAAGGTTATTTTGAACCTACCTCCAATTTCTTCCGGGTGGTTCAAAATCTCGGTCTCGCATTGTGAAACTCCCCTCGAGCCGATGAATCTACTGTTTGTTGGAGCGCCCTGATAATTTTCGTGTTCTTCTCACTAGCAAGGAAGATGCATTTGCATTATTATTTCTTTGAGACGGCCTACATATCTTTCTGTCTGCAGCAGCCTTGTATGGTGCGACAATGAAGTTACTTGCATCACGGAGACTCGTCGCTCTTCTTCTAGTTACTTCACTTTAGTCCTTCTGATGTAGCTGCATCTCATGGAACAAAGTTCCAGACCCATCTAACCCTCAGGACAATCGCAACACTGAAAATAGACCACTTGGGTCAAATCTTTGGTTACTGGCTTCTAACAGGTAATTGCCAAAAAACCCTGGTTGGATCCGAATGTTGAAAGCTGGATGTAGATTGCTTCAAACCAAGTTAAATCCACAACCTCCTGTCATACGTGAAGGTATCTTGTTTAATGTGGAGCATCACTCAACAATGTAAGCTGGAAACCTCGAGACGCTGGACCATATTGATTAAGGAGAATAGTAATTGACCTGAGTAGAAGTCCATTGTTTCCAGTAATGTCAACGCTGAGTGAGACCAGAGTGGTTACATAGGAATTACTGTTTGAAGCAGGAGTCTCAGAATACAGTGGAAGTGTGCATAAAATTATATTTGCGGCAAAAAGAGACTTTCTGGAAAGGATTTCATAAATGTGAATCCAACAAATTCCCCAAGCACCTACAACTAATCGAAAAACGATCCCGCAGTTTTCAAGCAATCCTTCGAGCTACTTGATTGGGAGGTCCTGAAACTTGAGTCAGTATGTCCACATGGGTCATCGTTTGACGTGTCGGGCATAAGAGCGTTCGCTATTCAGACACCACAATTCAGGTGCGTCTACCGTAAGTTGGTGGGGTAGCGGCAACACGCTTGCCTCGCATGTTAAGTGTACGGAGTTCAGACTCGGACATGACCAAGAATCTGCACTGCGGATGAGCTCTAATAAAATGGAAACTCGAGCTCAGTGCTTCCCTTTTTCGATGTGCACTCACCAGAATCTTAAAAAACCGTCCAACTGTAACACCCTTTTGGTGCCTAGCTGCCAAGCTACGTGGAGGAAACACGACGGCTTAGATACTACCAGGCAGCCAAATCCTAGAGAGAAGCAGTCGAGATTCAGAGGCTGGACTCGAACCAAGGGCCTTCTGGTCAGTAAATTCTGGCCTTAACCCCTGGGCTATCTCAAGGCCACTCATCAGAATAATTGCATCAGGACAGAAGGAGGACTGTTCAATTAAAAGGGACTCGAATTTGATTTCTGCAAACCCCGCAGACACCTGCGTTGGATCGAATTCCATCTATCCAAAAATAACGATAATACGAGTTCAACTTGCGAGAGGGAGTTTGAGCGTGAATGCGTGCCCATGTGCCAAAAATGCGTCATTCTGAAGAGGAAAGAAACGAGGTTTGCACGTGGATGTCCGACCAACTTTATTCGATAATTGGCAGCCACCAACTATTTTCAGTAAGAATTTAGATTGTCGATTCAACCAAGATTCAGGAGCTTGGAGACTGGGGTCATTTGAAATCAGGTTAAAAAACAGTACTCATCAATGGCTTTTGTCCAACATGGCTTAACGCCGGAAGAAACCCAGCCGTCACATGGCCTCAACCGAGAATTAGACGCTGGAGTCTTCTTGACTATGTAATCCTCCAATGAATAAACCTCAAAAGAATGTTAGTTACCAAAGTGATGCGTGGTGCTGAATGCAACAGTGACACTTCTTTGGCACGAGGAATACTCCGCAAAATTAGTACACCACGTAACAAAAGGACAAAATGTGAGGCCGGATTGGGTAATTTGGCAAGTACGATGAGATTTCAGTTGGTGCTACCCGAAAGGCTGTCGAAAACAACTCTACGGGTTCGGTAGACGAACAAGAAGCCGTAGTAAAAATATGCATACACGAAGCTGCACTGGAGATTATCGGGATGAAGAAATCAGTACGAAGTAATTGGACTGAAAAAATACAGCCACCATTTTGCCTAAGGCCGAGTGGAATGTAGCTTCACTTAAAGTACTACGGAACCCGTCAAACTGAACCACCTAAGATGAATTTTGAACTGCAAGAAACAATCTCACTGAACGCTTGCGTGAGCTAGAACGTCATCTATGAGTTAGATGCAGCTTCCAGTCATACAAAGATCGATATAAAGATTTCTTTGGAGCAGAAAAAGCCCATAGACCCAAAACGCTATATTTGCGGGTTCTGTAGGACATCCGGGCCGAACAAAATCTCAGCCGTGTGAAAGGCGCAGCTTGTCATGCTTCCCAGTCTCTACTCGGATCAAGCGAATTAGATGTCAGAATGTACGGAAAGGAGCAACACGAGCAGTTTGCCACTGTTGAAGAGAGGTAACAAATGGAAAACTAATAGGTCAATGAGAGTAACGGATTTTCCACAGAACCATCTAATTCTAGTGGACAAGGACGGCAGTATGCAATCCAACATATGCTCCATTCAGTATAAAAGGCTGAGCATACTCCACAATACTACAAGGTCTCCACTCTAAATTCCTTATTCACCTTTGTGTAGAGTCTTTTAATAAGACCAGTCCAATCTTCGCAGTGGAATTAACAATAGGAATTTCACCTGCGCAGCTAACAGCTATACGTCCTTAGCGAAATACACTCATTCACAAACAAAGTCGGTTTTGCGAGAGACTCATCTGAAACCTAGCTGTATCTCTTGCTTATGGTGTTTCTAAGCTTAGAAACGCCATAATTTTCGTGAAATTCGGATTCAAGTAGGACATAAGTTTGACGGAAACGTCAACAAACCCCTTGACTTGATGAATAGAGAAGCGTTGTAGATTTTTTTTCGGAAGATGGAACTTCAAAATACATCCGTTAGTTTGGTCAACTTCTTCAAATCTGGAATGAAGGCTGATGTTAGAGCCCGTAGGACTGTCTGTGAATCCCAACGTTGACGCAGGGGTCAAACAAAACTACCACCTCAGGGCGGCGCCCTTATTTACCTCCTACCTGACTGCAACAAGCGCGGGAAATTTTCAGAGTTCAGAAGGTGGTCGCTATTTGCTACGTTTTGGATGGTCACCTACTCACTTCAGGATACTCTTCACACAAACGGCTCAAGGACCAAATGTTACCGACCTACAGATCACGGAAGTTCACCATGGGTGTGGATGGTGGTGGGATAGTGTGTCGTCCACCTTTCTGGTTCCTCGCCGGTACTCCGAGCACCGACCACACGGTCGGCAAGGAGTTGAGCCCGACAAATACCAAAGTCTTACTTCGCTTTAATAGGACTGCGATAAAGTGTTTGGGGCGAGTGGACATCACAACCCTGGTGTACTGTGCTATCACATTGTCCGTACTTTTGTACGGCAGTGGGACCTGGACAACGCATCGGAATTATTGCTGAATCCTTGGTTGTCCTTGCTTGCAATGTCTGTGAGGGATTATGCTCATACGGTTATCAAATCGGATCCTGAATATTCAAGTTTTTATGAGTCAGAAGTTGATGGCATTGAAAACATGCTGATTTACAGTCAGTTTTGCTGTGCTAGTTGTGGCATACCACGTGGAACTCGAAGTCGTTTGGGTTGAAACATATACTTACAAAATTGCCAGCGACAGCAACGACAAAACGAATTTCACGCTTTATGGAAAACTGCATGAAACTCGCCTTTTCAGTACCTCTATTTCATATAGTTAGACTCAGAACTCATAGACTCTTCAGTTAACAGTCGACATTTCAGTGTTGGTTACGAAATGCCTGTCTTCTGTTTGAGAAAGTTTTTAACTTTGACGTGACTTTCTCGCCAAGCCGGTCAGGCTTGTTAGTCTCATAGAAAATAGAGGAAAGCTGATGACTCCTGTTGTTTAGACAATAAATTATCCCCATTTTTGGAGCGATTGCGCACCACGTGCTTTGCAATAGATTAAGAACCGAGTGTAATTTGATAGTTTTCCACTATAATGCAGAGGAAAACGGGCAGTTCATATCTTTCTCAGTCTCATTCCCTTCCAGCAAGCGAGTGAAGCTTCTGTTGAAAATTCGTGTACTTTTGGATGCACACTTATTCGCCACAAGAATGATACGGTCATTTGATATCACTTAAAGAGCATAGCCCCAGTAACTCCAGGCAAGCTGCTCTACTTGAAACTTTTCCTGGCCACGTGTCACTGGGTGCACATTGCATTGAACTTTAACAACAGAAATAGATTCCAGTGACGGACGCACATGGTTTTTCGTAAATAAAGCACGTAGTACAGCTATATCCGATATCCAACGGCGCCACTAAATAGCTCGGTAACCACCACAACACTTCTGGCGCCTTCTATACAATAAATTTTCTCCTGGATGGTTCTCTTTTTCGGGAAAGTGACTTGCAAAAAAAACACGTGTGTCAAATGACTTCTGTAGTCGTGCGAAATAATGTCGCTAACGCTACGGATCCGTCCACTGCTTCAAAGTCTGTAAGCTAAAGTCTCTCTTTTTTTGGCGGGGGGGGGGGGGGTTTGCGGGTAGGAAACCATCAAAACCGGAGATTGGGA